GCAGTAAGTAGCTTTTTCATTAAACTATCAGTTCTTTGATTACCCTGAGTAATGAGTTCAAGAAACTGACACCAAAAACCCTTGAAAAGGAGAGAAAATTATCTAAAAATGGATAAAACTATTGACTGCTGTTGTTTTTTTTTTTTTTTTTTTATTTTTTGACAGGCAGAGTGGACAGTGAGAGAGAGAGAGACAGAGAGAAAGGTCTTCCTTTTTGCCGTTGGTTCACCCTCCAATGGCCGCCGCGGCCGGCGCGCTGCGGCCGGCGCACCGCGCTGATCCGATGGCAGGAGCCAGGAGCCAGGTGCTTTTCCTGGTCTCCCATGGGGTGCAGGGCCCAAGCACCTGGGCCATCCTCCACTGCACTCCCTGGCCACAGCAGAGGGCTGGCCTGGAACAGGGGCAACCGGGACAGAATCCGGAGCCCCGACCGGGACTAGAACCCGGTGTGCCGGCGCCGCTAGGCGGAGGATTAGCCTAGTGAGCCGCGGCGCCGGCCGACTGCTGTTGTTATTAAAATATATGCCCATCTTAAAAATCTGTATTAGGTCAGTGAACATGACTGTTCTATTTACCAGACTTTCCAGTGGAAGCTTGACAGGTACTTTATAAAACCTACTTCTGGTGTTGATAAAGCAATTACAAGGTGATTTTTCAGTAATTTCATTGCACGATTCAATTTGTCTTTGCAATGATAAATATTTAAAATTAAAGGCTACAGAGACTTTCAATTTCCAACTCTCTGCAAACCCACTAAGGATTTCTTCCCTGCTCTTTAATCTGCAATGACAACAACTCGATGAAGGGCGGGATGGGAGAGGGAGTGAGAGAGGGGAGGGCCATGGGAGGGAGGGAGGTTGGGGGGGGGAGCTACAACAACACAAAAGCTGCACTTTGTAAATTCACATTTATTAAATAAAAAAAAAACATATAACAAACAAGCAAACAAAAAGAAACAGAAAAAAAAAAGAACTTAATACTTCATCATTTTAGTATTTTTTATGTTCTGCTTAAAACTATTGGTTGAACTCTTAATTAATACACAATTACTCTTAGGGGTTTAATTAATGCTATAACTAGTACTCAAATAGTATTTTACACTTTGTGTTTCTGTGTGGGTGCAAACTGTTGAAAAAAGTTACTTAATATATGCTAAATTGATCTTCTGTATATAAAGATAATTGAAAATTAATCTTGATGTGAATGGAAGGGGAGAGGGAGTGGGAGAGGGGAGTGTTGTGGGTGGGAGGGAAGTTATGGGGGGGGGAGCTATTGTAATCCATAAGCTGTACTTTGGAAATTTATGTTCATTAAATAAAATAAAATATAAATATAAAAAAAAGAAAAAAAGTAATTTACTCGAGAGGCAGAGCATCAGAGAGAGACAGAGAAGGACCTCCCAACTGCTGGTTCACTTTCCAAAAGCCTGCGAAGGCCAGGACTGTGCTAGGATTGAAGCCAGCAGCAAGGAGCTTAATACAGGTCTCCCCCATGTGGTGTCAGGGACCCAGCTATTTACACCATAACCTGCTGCCTCCCAACTGACCACCAAGCACAAAACTGGAGTTGGCAGACAGATCTGGAAATCAAACCCAGGCACTGGAGCACGGGAAGTGGGTGTCTTAACTGCTAGGCCAAACGCCAGCTCCCAAACCTAGAATGTTTGATTTCGTGATAATCACAGGGACTCTGGGCCTGGTTTCTTCAGTCAATGGCAGTGACATGGAGCAGGCCTCTGCTCTAACAGCTGGGACGCCGCATCTCAGACGGGCGTGCCTGCTTCCAGACCCAGCTGCACCCCGAGAAGCCAGCAGATGAGGCTGCAGTGCTCAGGGTCCCTGCTACCCATGATGGAGACCTGGGTAGAGGTATTTTGGCCTGGCCCAGCCCTGACTGTTATTGGCATTTGGTGAGTGAACCAGTAGGTAGAAGATCTCTGCCTTTCACATGAAAAGAAAATAAATCTCTTTTAAAAAGTAAATGATATATTAGGGCTATTTATTTCTTCACATGTAAAGTTACTTTCACATAAAGGAACTTATAATCAACTAATTATACTTATTTCTTGTCTTTAAAAAAGATCACCATATAATTCGTGAAAAAAGGATTCAAATGGATCATCTTACCACATTTAATATCTCCCTGCAGTGGAGGTCCTGCCAAGGACCATAACAGACATTTTATTACTCAGAGAGCTATATAACAGCCCAACGAGTCCACATAAAAAGGTACCCATTTTGGACAGCAACTTAGTTATCATAAATTACCAACAATTCATCCACTCAACAAATAGTGTCAGGCATTCTACTAAGTGCTGGATACACAAAAGTGAGCAAAAACGATTCCTGCTCTCCTACAACTTACAGTGTGGTGAGGACAAGACAGTCATCAAACACATAACAGAGCAGGTACTTACTAAGTCAGAGAGGGTTATAGAGAAACAAATATAACCTAAAGAAACCTGACGTGGACTGGCAGGGAGAATCAGGGGGCACTTCCCTTAGGGGAAGGGATGCTGACCAGATCTGCAGGCCCAGGTAGGTGGCTGGCGTTTTCAATATTTTAGGGCCAGGGAACCGCAGTGTGAAAGAGCCTGTGGTGGAGAGTAAGCCACACTGACATGGAGGTTAGTTGGGCCAGAGTGTCCAGCGCACAGGGAGCTAGGGATACAGGGCTAGCAAAATAAAGACCAGTGCTGGGAGGGTTTCTGAATATGGAGCAGGAAGAGGGCCTTTACCATCACAGGGGTTGCAGCAAGACTTGAATAACGTAATGCCTTTAAAAAAAAGTTATGAAAAGCACCCTACTCTTGGTTAATGCTCTTCTGTTCCACTGCTTTGTTTTCTAAATAAATTTTTGGTCTGGACGCCAAGTGAATGACTGAAAAGCGTTAAAGGCAGAATCCAATGACATAACCCTGTTTTTGCCCCCATACCACCCTGCCTACAATTTCTTCCATTTAACAAGTTCAAAATCTGCAGCTGACAACTAGTACTTCATAATGACAGTAATTCCAACTACTTACTGAGTATTTACTATGTGCCAGGCACTTATTTACATTAACTTATTTAATCCTCAACTGTAGAAGAAAGGTTTTATTACTGCACAAACAAGGATAACAAGGTTCAAGAAGGTTAGAGAACTTACCCTAAATCACACTGCTAGCAAATGTTGGAGCTGTTAGGTTAATTACACCATTACTGAACTTCCCCTTTAAACATTTTAGGTGTGCATGTATGTGCACAGATCTGTATCAGTACGGAAGGTGGGGGCACGGAAAGGAGCAGAACGCCTAGGTGTGGAGTCACACTGACACAAGTTTGAGGATCAGTGTCTCAGTCACCTTTACATTCCGGGCGCAGCGCATAGTGCCTGGGCTATCAGTGGGGCTCAGAATTGAAGATGGATACAAAGGACTTCCACCTGGAAATAGTGGCTTTCTGACACCAGCCATTCACTTGATGGCTGTATTTTCCTGGAACGTCTTCTTTTTAATGATTAAATCGCAGATCTGGGCTGCATTACCTTTGTCACATTTCACAGACATTAGCCAGGAGGCAGAGTGGGATGACAGCAAGGGCAGCGAACAGTTCCAAACACTCTCCGGCCACAACCCGCATCCACCGCTTGCCCCGGGGTCTCCACTGCTTCCCACACGAGTCCTCCCCTGAGCATCCCAGCCAAGTCGGCCCCCGGGCCTCAGGAGCACATCACCCACTTTCCCTTCATCACGGTTCACGCCCTCAGTCCCCAACACCAGGGGGGCAGGACCGTCGTCCAGCTGCTGTCTGGAGGCATCTCCAGCGCCTAAAACTAGGTGAATGCGTCTGTAATAAACGAACGAGCAGACAATCACCTGGGAACCGCGTTCTCAAGCCCTTACGCTCCGCACCCCTGGCGGCTCCACACCGCATTTTAACAGGAACACCATTTTTACATCACGGTGCGGCTCGAGAAGCGGCCTGGACTCCATTTTCTGAGTCGAGTCCCTTAAACAATACTGCGAAGGGAGGTCCGCCCTGGCAAGAACGCCCACCATCCTCATTTTACAGGCTACGAAACGGAGGGCCTCGGAAAGAGAGATTCGCCCAGGGTCAAGCTGAAAATCCGGGTAAGAGCCTGGGATGGCGTCCGAGTTCCAAAACGCTCTTTGACAAGAGATCGCGCAGTGGATTCCCAAAGCTTCAAAGGCTTAAAAATGATTGTTCGCCGCCATCCATTAGGCGCTAGGTGCAGGCCCAGCGAAACCGCCCCCTCGCCCACGCCGGCGCCCAGCCCCTCACTCAGGCCGCGCCCCCTGCGCCCCGCCCCCGGCCCGGCCCCCGCCGCCCCGGCCTCACGCCGCGCCCCGGCCAGGTCTCCCGCGCCGCCGGGGGGCCGCCCCCTCCCGCCCGAGCCAATCAGCAGCGGCCCGGGGGCGGCGCCACGGGGCTCCCGGCCCTCCTATCTGGGCACCAATTGGCCGGCGCAGACGTCGCTCACGAGGTCGCGCCCTGCACTCGCCTTCCTCCTCTTCCTCCGCCCTCCCCTTCAGAAAACACGGCGGTTGGGCCGGGGCGGCCGCCAACTGCAGGCGGGAAGCGGCGGGGCGAGCGGCCGGGGAACGAGGGAAGGAGGGACTGCAAGGAAGTCGAGGAGGATAAAGAGGAGGAGGAGGGGAGGCCGGCCCAGCCGGAGCTGTCTCTATCGAGAACAAAATGGCGGCGCTGGCGGAGGGCCAACTGTGAGGCGGGGCCGCGGCCATTCCCCCTCCGCCCCCACCCTCGCGCCGGCCGGGCCGGTCAGGGGGAGCCCTCTCGCTTCGCCCGGCCGCGGGCGGGGAGGGGAGGGGAGCGGCCCGGCCCACTATGCAAAGCGCCCGGCGCCGCCGCCGCCGCCCCGTGGCAAAGGTAAAAGGGTCGGGTTCAGCCGCCGCCGCGGCGCCTCCATGTCCGCGCGCCAGGCCCGCCCCCTCCGCCGCCGCCGGCCCGAGCCCGCCCCGACCCCCTTTTCGGTGTTACCTCAGGATTTGGCGCCACAGCGGCCTGGAAGCAGGTCCCGTGTCGGCGGCGGGCGGCCCCCGGCGCGGAGGGCAGGGCGCGGCGAGGCCGGGCTCCCGGAGTCGGCGGATGGCGGGAGCCCCGGGGGCCGCGGGCTCGCGGGGGCCGCGGGCGGGAGGCGACGCCGAGGTGGAGGCGGGGGCGGGCCCGGGGGCGCCGCCGGGGTCGCGGGGAAGGAGGGGTTTGTTATTGTTTTTGTCAGTGAAAGGTCAGAGTTCGTGACCCCGGTGCCGCCGCCGCCGCCGCCCGCGCGCTGGGAGGAGGAGGGCGAATGTTCTTCTTCCTCTTCCCAGCGCCAGCCTCGCCGCGGCGGCGGGGGGCGGGCGAGCACGCGATTGGCTGAGGCGCGCGCGCGCACCGGAACGCCGCGGCCGGCGCTCGGGCCATCCGGCCCGCGGGCTGCGGGCTGCGGGCCGCGCCTCGGCCGCCGGGCCCTGGGTGGCGGCTCCCGGCCCCCGGCCCGCGGAGACGCTGGTAACCCGGGGCTAATTATAGGGGGCAGGCCCACCCCCACGGCGGGACACGCGAGCCGCGCGCGCCGGGCGGGTTTGCTCGCCCCGAGCCGCCTCCGCGGAGCTCGCCGCGCCCCGGTGAGGGAAGGAGCGGGGCCCTCGCCGCAGAGCGCCCGAGGTCGGCGGCGGGTGTGGGCCTCCCTGTTGGGGCTTCGAAGGTGCAAGGGAGCGGTGTCGGGTACGGTGCGGAAAGGCCCGGGCCGAGTCGGAGTTGGAGCTCGGGGGCCGCCTCGGTGTGCGGACAGCAGGTCCGAGCGAGAAGGCTGCCCCCCGGGCCTCCCGGGGCCCGCGGAGCCCCCAGGTTTTCCCCGGTGGCGACTTGCCTGGGAGCTGCAGCACCCTCTGGGCCGGGCTGCGCGCGCCTCGTCGCCCGGCGTTGTAGGCCGCAGATTCTGTGCTAACGGGTTTCTCCCTCTGCGTGTCTCTTACTGGGAAGAAATACTTAGACTGATGGGTTAACTTGTTTTCTTAGCAGTTCCCATATGGCGTTTTTATCAGCATGGTCCGCCCAGCGTTGGGGATTTTGTCCGTAAGCTTATAATGATGGTTGGATAGGAACTGTTCAAAACGCAGCTGTTGGCCTTCTCTCCTTGTTGTCACCTTTCAAAGTGGGCAAAAGAGCTGCGTTTGTGTAGTGTTAGGGGAACCACAGACACTGAGGCCGGAAAGGCTCCTCTCTCTGGAAGATTTTCACCGTTGTGTAGGCCGTGAGCCCGAGGTGACAGTACTCTGAGAAACTTGGAAACGTGCACTTTGAAGAAATGTTTTTAGTGTTAATGCTCCCAGATAGAGTGTTCAGTGTAAGAATTTACCTATCAGCGAGAGGGGTTTTCTGAAACAGTGCATTTGCAGGAGATACTAAATGTTTTGCGTTGGCTTAGTTCTCCGATTCCTGTCCTGTAATACTCTAGCTGTGGAAGTGAAGCACTGTTCTTTGATTTTACTTAGGTGTGGGAACTGACCGGTGAGCAATCTGCCCTGTGTTTCGAGCACAGTAAGTGAAAACGGCTGTGATGTAACCTTCTGGATGCCAGCCTGTGTCGGGAACCAGCTGCATCAGTGTACCCCATTTGTAACGGTTCAGTAGGCAGTTAATAGTGAAAGTAGTAGCAGGGGTTCATAACCTTGATGGGGTTGGCCAGCTTTTCTTCCCCTGAAACATGCACACACACACAGAATATGCACAGTATCGGCACCTTAAGGCCTCTGTCAGCTGAGCTCAGCATTGCTCTGGATTTTTTTTTTTTCTCTATTGTGTTTGGAAGTCTTTAATGAAAACTCTAAATGGCTTTGTAAGAAATTTTATAGTTAAAAAAAATATATAGGTTGTATGTATCATACTATGTGTATGTATGTGTCGGAAATCCCATTAGTAAAAACCATGCACATTTGCCTTAGCCTTTAAAATGAGCATTTTTGACTGGGAGGGTACCTCAGTTGCTAGGCTCCCAGAGGTTTCTGAAGCAGCAAGCTTTGGGTAAAGCCTGGCCCTGGCGTGGGTACTTGTAAACATCACAGGTAATTCTGATAGGCACTGATTTCACTCCAAAACTACAGATCTACCTGACAAAACAACAAAACTTTGGTGGTTTCACCTTTTGAAATACAGTTTTAGAATTTTTTTTTTCCTTTTTAAAAAAGAGAGCTCTTTGGTCCTGTCAGGAAATTAATAGGGCTGGGGATAAAAGGAGCTCCTGTGAGTGATGGTACATCTGGCTGTCCTCAGCCCTTTCAGCCCCTGGGCACACTAGGAGCCCTGTAGGGTGTGCTTTGTCTCCATCTCAGCCTTTAGTGTAGTGCCTGGGGCAGTCGGTGTGAAGTGAATGATACCCATACCATTGTCGCTGTGTTGGCAGATGAGCTCAATGGCCTGTAACCTGGGACTGCTTGCAGAGAGTGCTGGGTGAGACCGTGGTATTCCCTCCTCTGCCCCAGTGCTTCCCTGACTTATCTGTGGTCAGTCTGACTTGTCTCTGAATTTGAGAGCTGGAACTGTATAGTACAATTTTATCTGGTACCTAGCATGGAGTACATATTTGGCTATCCAAAGTTATTTTAAATCTGCCTTTAAATAACAAATGTTGACTCTGAAAATCAAATTTTGATTGAAAATATTTGTAGATGTGCTGAATTTCTTAAATTACTATTAGAAGGTTTTTTCCTGGTAAAGGTTCTGCTTTTGTGAGCATAAAGTTTTTGTGATGTAAATTAATAACTGATAACTTGTAATCTTATAGATGGAAGGCTTAATACTTAACCTTACATATTTGTAAGTTTATATTAATTTTTGGTAAGTTTATGCTTTATAACATAGTAATTTCATCAGACTTCTGTTATCATTTGTGTATTACGTACCATTGTAAAATAAATTTTTAACTCTCATACAGTTGCTATTGGTCTTTTTCTTTTAAGAATGTGAAATCTGAATGGACATAACCTTTGAACACCAGATTGCACATTCCTTACATATTACCCTGTTTATAATAATGTTGTGAAGTGGGTGGTATTACCCTGTTTGTACAGCTGAAGAGGGCGAGGCCTAGACAGGAGAATCGGCCTAAAGCCTGTGGCCGGCAAGCTGGGAAGCACTGTTAACAGTGACTTGTGTTGAGTGCTCTGTCCTTGAGGACGCAGAACATCTGGGTCTGCTCCCCTGCTTGCTCTGTCACAGTCAACCCCTGTTGGTCTCTCAGGCCTGTTGGGGAGATCTTACCTTTGTGTAAATAGCTCTTGTTCTGCCCCAGAAAAAGACCATTGTCCCTATTGCGGATTGGTGGTACAGGGACACTGGAAGCGTTGTCTTTCCTAGCTCTCTCCCAAAAGAGTCATTCCCCTGTTGTCTCTGACCAGGGTTTCTTGTCCTTTGAAAAGGAGCTGTTTCTAAATTTTATGTCACTCAGGTATCTTAGAGCAGTTCTTGATTTTTATGGGGAGGTGTAAAACCAGTTTGAGTGTGATGGAAAATTGTTCTCTTAAAAATGTACCTACCCTTGTTTCCCTAGTTCAAGAGTATGGGTTATTTAAAGCAATGTTTTTTACTCTTTACATGTTGCTTTCCTAGGGACTCTGAATCTTGAGGCTGAGGAAGTAGAGCAGTTTTCCACTGGGGAGCCTGCGGAGTTGTAGCTGCACGGTTTTCAATGACGTGTACCTCTGCTCTTGGCTACCTTTGTGTCCAAGTTTCCCAAGTTCGGGTACTTGTTATTCCCAGAGAATGTTGTCATCCTATTTCCTGCATAGAAGGACAGTCACTTGTGTATAGGGTGGGACACAGGGATCTGAGGTCTCAGGACCCTTGTAGATACTGAGTTGGTTGTCCTCTGTAGTCCTGCCTTGGCTTTTCAGGACATCTGTGACTCCGGCTTCCCAGCTCCTTCCAAGGACAGGGGTCTTGGGGTTGTCTCACTGCTGTCCCCTCCAAAGGAACTGTGGTGAGGATGTTGTTCTATGCCAGGTTAGCCCATGTCTGTACAGTTACATCTTCCCAAATCTAGACTGACATTTTCCATACCCTGTGCTGCTGCTTGGACTTTCTCTTTGTCCTTCAAGCTGTGTGTGTGTATTTAGTGGGTTTTGGGAAGGAGCCAAGAAATGTTTTCTGGTTATCAGTCACTGCATAATCACATCAAAACTTAGTAGTCTTAAAACCTCAAATGTTGGTATTAAAGTCTTGTAGTTCTAGGGGAGTCAGGTGGTTCTCTGTGGGGTCCCTCGTTGTTGCAGCCTGGAGTCTGAGCCATCCGAAATGAAAGGCTTCCTAACTGAGCTCAGGTGGTGCTGCTTGATATCACAACACCTCCAGCACCACCTCGGCCTGCCTCCCTCCTTCCCTCTGTTCTCTGAGAACTAGTGGCAAAAGAAAAAGTGCCGTTTTTGAGTTAGAGAGTCACTTCGTCTGCTGCTTTGAGGCCATCACTGAGTTCTGCCTGCATTAAGGGTGGGGAACATGTACTCCCCTGCAGGAGGGCAGCTGTGACGTACTTCAGAAAGTTTATGGAAAATGGAACTACATGATTTTTAGAGTAGAAATTTTTTGAAACCCATACGTAGTTTATTCATAATACACATTTTAATGGGCCTTTTGAAGACCCTTTAACTTGTGGGCATCTTTGACAGAATCTACCACACTTAGGTTTATTTCTCTTTAAATGGAAGGCCAGAGGGGCTTTACTAAAGCTTTGTTCTTGTCACTGACCTATTTTACAGCATTGGAAGGCTCCCAGTCTAGTAACCAGCAGTACCAGTGCTCCTGAATGATATCACTCCAGGTGTGAGCATGCCACGTAGCATGCGCGCCACCTCCAGGGACCTCTCCTGCCCTTTTTCTCTGTGAGGGAACCCACTCTTGTGGATGTTAAGCTTCAACTCAGCATCATCTCAAGAACGCACAATCTGCTTCAGGAACAATCCATTCAGTTACCCACCTTCCCAGAGCACTTTCCCTGTACTAAGCTTAGAGTCACTGGGTGTATACCTGACTTCTCGGATTGAGCTGGCTGCAGTAACTAGCACGTTTAGCTTCATACCACACCTGGCCTAAGTCCCTCAGAATTCTTCAGGTGTAGGTGCACCACAGTCAGCCACTTAACCTTCATCTTCGGAGAGTTGAATGAAAATTTCTAGCCCCCCAAAAAACACCCCAATCATATTAACCTTGCTTTTTCAGCTAACTAATTTTAGAGATTAATATCTGTGTGTTTCTTGAGGCTTCAGCTTTCAACATTGTTTGATTTGTGCATAGATGTTTTAGTTAAGGTTCAGACCATCAGCACTCATACAAGGAGGAGGTAATTATCAGTTAGCTGTGTATCAGCTTTGACTAGTACAATCTGTAGATAGCTAAGGAGGGTGGTGGCAGCTGGGTGGCCAGCACTCTGGCGGCCCCCCATGTTCTAGAGTCCCTGTTACTCTTTGGACAAAAGCACCAACCCCAAGTTCATTTGCTGCAAGGTCTGGCTGGAGCATCACCTTGCAGGGTGGCTGGGTGTGGAAGGAAGTTCATAGTCCTGACCTAATTCCTGAATGGGGCACTTTAATTTATGTAGATAAGCACCTTCCAGTGTTTCTTGTGCCATGTAAAACTTAAAATTTTGAAATATGCTGTTTAGCAAATGTTTTACCTCTTGTAGTTTTTCTGCAAGAGAACTTAGTTTGCTTTCTTTGTGAGGAGTGAGCGTGTCTCATCCTCGTGATTGTGAAAATGGGCTCTTTGTTGAGTAGGTCAAAGGTTGCAGTTTAATTCATGAAATTATAGTGAAGACTATTATTTTTCATCTTGTCTCACAAAGTAAGATTCAGTGTCATACTGAATAGTATTACAGCCATATTTTAAAGAAGCTTATTTTGTACCTATAACAACTTCATAATTATGCATGTCAGAATCAGCCAGTCTTGTGCTTTAGGGCATGGCCAGTTACCACAGCCATCAGGAAGGAATTTCTCTTGTATTTCAATGCATATTGCTCCTGACAGGATGGCTCCATGACCCAAGCATGAATTCCAGGGTATACTGTAAGGTTGGATAATTGCAGGCCAATGGATTTGAAGGACCACACACTTACGGGCGATGTCATCTCTTCCTCACATCTGTTTAAGAGAAATTCTAAGAACACAGGGCTTGTTGCCTATGCTTTACCACAATATCTTTGGATATAGCTGTTGATGAACGCAATAGATAACAGCCAACTTTTCATATCCTTTTACTCCAGGTCCACCTTCAGAGACAACGTGAGTTGTACTTTTTTGAAGCCTTAGCCTAAAGGTGAGATCCTAGCATTGACATTTGAAGTCATTTGGGCAGCTCCTGTGTTAAGTGGAGAATCTTTATATAAGTAAGAGTAGTGGTCACTATTGAAAATGTAATTTAAGAGCAGCTGGTACAAAGCATATTCTTTTAAGTCCCTATAATATTTCTAACTCTGAGCTCCTAGAAGCTTTTCATAATTATATCAATGATTTGGTTTTCCTTTATGGATGCTACAGTATCCATTTTGTGATTAAAATAATTTGTGTAGGTGTACCATGAACTTGATGCCTGTTCCTGAAAGCTTGTTAAATTTTTGAAGCCATTCAAAATATAAGACTGGAATTATGTCTTTACATTTGCATTTGTTTTAGTCTCATTTTGGCTCATGTGTCTAACAACTTTGTACTTGGTACTCTTAAACCAGTGGTTTATTTTTTACCATAATCTCATCTGTACGTAGAAATTTTACACCAGCCATCAGTGTATGCACAAAATGGTCCTTAAGCAGAATGGATATACTCTGTGTTCTGTTCTCTTGAGATAACTTGGGGGTTGAGACCCATTATGTTGCACAGTTAGTTCCTGGAGATTTAGAAACATGGCTGCAAGCTAAAACAAAACAAAAACTTGTCTTACAAGCCTTTTTTGCTGTTGTGGGCGTGCTGTCTCTATACTGGTTGGTCTGTTCAAACAGCATCCTTGAAAGACAAAGGGTGATGAAAGCAGAGAAGGCAGTGTGTGTCAATCGTCTGCACGCACAGTGCCCTCCATGGCACTGCAGCTTCAGGTGCTGTCTCTACAGGAAGTCCATGGAGGGAATGTGTTCCACAGGATCTCTCATGGTCAGCAGGGTATCATGAGGATGGGCTCAAGGCTGAGGAGCTTCTCCAGAGGATGTTGTGTGTGGAAGGAGATGTCTGGCTGGGTGCTGCCTGGTGGTGGTGCCTGAGCAGCAGCAGTGACACTGGTTCTCCCCTCATGGACTGTAATGCTTGGCATGGTGTCAGATTTTAGAAGTGTCCTGGGTCTTGTCTGATGGCATCAGTGCAAGCTCTCATTCTGCTCGAGTCACTTCTTCTCAGCCAAGTGTGGGGGTATACCTTGTAAATTGGTGTTTCTGCTGCAGTCTTGATTTGGTGATGAGCAAAGATTGCCAGGGACTGGACTGAGTTTGATTCACAGCACCCTGAGCTCCCCCTTCCCTGTCTTCCCTGCGCCCCATCCCCATCCCTACTGTTGGGGAATCTTGTTGGACACTTACAGGAACTGTAGAAGCTGGGGCCCTACTGCCGGTTTTGCCAGTGTGTGATCCTGTGTTTGTAATCTTGTTTCCTTATTTGAAAAATGGGGATAATAATGGAATTTACCTAAGCAGATCCCCATGGAGAACTAAGATTAAGGCTCCTAGCACTTCTTAATCCCACAGAGGATCTCCTAAGGGCCTGAGAGAAGTCACTAATGTTTGGGTATTGATGTAACAATTGCATTTGATTAAGTGGATGCCCAAATAATTGCCCTGTGAGTACTCCATCAGATAATTCCCAAATCCATGGCAAGGCACAGTCCTTGTTCATTCTGTGCCAACCCAAACCATGAGGTTTCCAAAAGATGTGGTTCACAGGATGGACGATGAGGCTGAATCCATAGCAGCCATCCGTCTTTCAGAGAAGTCTGTGCCAGTCTTGATGATCCCCTTTCTAGAGACAAACTAAGAAGTGGACAGGTGTAAGGAAGTGTGGGTCTTGGAGAGGTGTTGGAGGGCTGGCTCCAGGAAGCCAGCTCTGCCTCCATGGTGGCTGTGACCAGGGAGTCCTGTAGCCCTAACCATAAGCAGCAGTTAGAGATTGATTCTAGAACTGGTTCCCAAGAATTCAAACTGACAGCATGGACAGCACGTCAGAAAAACCTGAAGTACTTGGTTGGGGATAGTACGCTGTCTAATCCTGACCTACCCTGCCTTTGGACTTGGTCTTGAGCTAATTTCCTAATGTAGTGTGTACATGGCTGTTCTCCCCACTGAATATGAATGTGCACAAGCTTGAAGCCTCCATGATCAGAGAAGCCACAAAACACAGGCTGAATGAATTAAAGAACATTGCAGCACATTATCAACTGTGTCCTGTGACAAACTTGGTATCAGAGCTGCTACTTGTGCTGCTGGCATCATCCTGGCCATACCACTTCTGATCCAGCTCCCTACCAATGTGCCTGGGAAAGGCAGCGGAAAATGGCCCAATTGGTGGAGCCTCTGCACCCATGTGAGAGACCCAAAAGAAGCTCTTGGCTTCAGACTAGCCCAGCTCCAGTCATTGAGGCCATCTGGGGAGTGGACCAGTGGAAGGAAGACACACACCCGTGTGTAACTCTGCCTTTCAAATAAATCTTAAAAAACAAAATTAAAAAACAAAAAAACCTTGGTTCCAGGCTACCACTTGCAGCCACGGTAGCCTTGTTCCCCATTTAGGGCTTCTCTGAGTGACCTTTGTATTGTCAATACAAAAAAAGTCAGCACTAGAAGAAAGGGCTCTGACCACAGCAGCCTTGGGTGCTGAAGCAGGGCTGCCAGGGCCTTACCACTGTGTACACGCAAAGATGCAAGTGCCCATCAGCTCCTCCTGCCCTGTTATTAGCCTAGGACCCACCTGCATACCGGGAAGAATGAGTCCATCAGTTGTACCAGCCTGACCAGAAAAACTTTGAGCATATTTCCAATCTGTAAAATAATTAGGACTAGCAACTCACATCCATTAGCACTAGTGTGTGTGCACTGATAACAGATTTTATGGATCCTCTTCAGTTTGCATAGTTGAGAGCAGGGCTCATGGCTTGGTGGGTTTTAGACCACACACATATGCTCAGCCTGTGCTTTTTTTGCTTCAGGCCTTGGGGAGCAGCTAGGATAATCTCCATGGGACCAAAGACATCAGGCCTCCTGACTCCCAGTCACTTAAAATGGATGACATGCCCAGTGCCTGAGTTAGCTCATCTCTGTACTGCTGAGGCTTCACACAGTATCACTGTGGTGTCACAACGGATCCCTTCACAAGAGTCTTGGCCCAGGGGAAGAAGTGCCCTTTGGCCAGATGGCTTCATTTTCTGTGACTAGTGGCAGGCAGGTGCCTTGGATGGGAGAGCATGAAATGGGCTGGACAAGGAGAAGGGCTCGGAAGGAGCAAGGAGCATGGGAGCGACTGGTAACACAGGGTCCAGAGAAAACAAGGTCTTCACCCTGTCACACATGGGCTATGGAGGATATATGGTGGCCAAAACCCACCTGGTATGTTTTATCTATTACCCGAGTGGTGTTTTCATAAATAAAGTCTGTTTCACTTCAGAGCAGCAAAAATATGGTGTTAGCAAGGGAAAGACCCTCAGATGACTTTAGCACACAATTTTATCTGGAATTCAGAAGCTGATGAGGTCAACAGCGAGAAGCTTGAGGACATTCGTGCCGCCTGGTTCAATCCTCCTTGATGCCTGGGGATGTGTTGCAGGACCCCCAGGGGATGCCCGAGACCAGTGATAATACCAAGGCCTCAACACCTGTGTACTTCAGGAATTTCACAGGAAGTGGAATTAAAGAGTGCATTTTGGTGCAAAAATTTTTGAAATTATGTATCAGCATTTATAGAAAAATGTATATTATGAAAAAAAACCATGGATTTCAACATGTTTCTGCACCAAAATAAATGTTATCTTAATTCTATTTTCCCATGAGTGTTTTGAAGTACTTTGATATAGTTTTTCCTATACAGGCATACTTGATAAATATGGTACATTAGATTTAATAGTCATAACAACAATATTCTACAGTAAAAGTTATCTGAAACTGAATTATTTTCCAACTGTGGCTGACCACAGGTAAATGAAACCACAGAAAGTGACACCACAGATAAGGCGCATGGCTGCACTGAAGTGTGCTTTTAAAGGCTCAGCATTTAGGTATGTAGATGGTGAAAAGGATTCTACTGGAATTACACTCTCAGAAATGAACAGAACTGTCTGTCTAGTCACCTAGTGTGTGACACTATATGTTGAATGCCAACATTTCAAAAGAACAGTTAAAATAGAAAAACATTTCCCCTGAAAATATTTATTATAACTAAGTCCTTGAGATGATACTTTTTACAAAAGGTTTGTCAGCAAATGCCTTTTTTAGGGGAGGGGTGGGGTGGGGTGGGGTGGGGTGGGGCAGCAGGTCAGAAAATGATATACTTGTTTCCTATTGCAGCAGCTACACCCCGTTCTTTCATCCCCTCAGCATGAGTGAGTGCCCTGTGACTGGAGCCATCTTGTGTGTGTCCAGACTGAGATAAATAAGCTCCCGGTGATACTTTGTTTTTCTCTTCTCGTAACAAATAAAAAGGATTGGATAATTCAGCCCAAGGATTCCTGTGTGTCTGAAACAAGAGGAGGTTTCCATGCCACAGTGTGAGGCCATAGCTTGAGTGGGCTGAACACAGGAAGGCACACCATAAATTAAGTGGACCCTGGCTGCAGAGGGTCAGTGGTGACCTATAGGGCTGGATCTGCCTGTCATGGCACTCCCAGTGCTGGTGATGGCTGTCGGAGGGAGGAAGCCCCCTTGAATAAGTTAAGTCAGGATACAGCTCGCAGCATCAGCTGGAGGTGAAAACGCTCCCTTTCCCATCCCTGGTCCCTGCAGCCACCACCAGGGCTGTGGAAGCTTTATGTACACCCTTGTGAGAGGACTGGGTGCAAATCAGTCCATGGGACTCCGTGTCTGCAGCTGACTTAAATGAATCACTTGAAAACAGAGGCTGCAGCTCAGTAAAACAATAAAGTGCTTTTGTCGAGAGGCGCTGCTCCTTACTGGCTGGTTCTCATTTCTCCTGAGGCACCGAAATTGACATCATTGAAGATAAAACTTACCACAGTAGAACTGTAAAAACACGTTGCTACTAAAAAGCCTGTATTTCTACTTCTCTATTGGTTTCCACGTCTTTGTGTTACTAGGTTTTAACTTATTGTTGGGTAAGGAAATAGTTTATGACGGGAGAGGGTGGCAAACCCACACAGAAAGGAACGGTCCATAAATATTCCTGCAGGGTTCGCTGGTGAAGGTATGGGGAGTTAACGGCAGAAAGGTCCCACCCTGTGCTGCGTCCAGGAGTGTGTCTGGAGGAATGGAGACGTGGATTTGCTTCTGGAAGGATTCACGTCAGCCTGAGAGTGTTCCAAGTCTGCCTGCTTGCCGACTGCTATAATACACTGGCATCTTCCATGGCCTCTATCCACCTGCACAACAGAGAAGAGGGCACCTGGGTCACAGCCCTGCCTGAGACTGGTCTCAGACCTACAGAGTCAGCTGCAAGTTGCAGACCAGGTCACATTCATCCCAGCTTCCCAAACATGTTTTACATGGTTAGCAGAAGGCCTTGAACACAGTGCGGCATTTGCTGATTCAGTGCGTGCCTGTCTGGATCAACTGTAGTCATCACCTGTCATAGGACAACGGGAGGCATTTGAGACCCATGCTGGGGATTCTGTCATGCGAATACTACAGTGTATGTGCGCCAGCTGAGATGGGGACGGCGGTCACGCAGCCTGTGCTGTCCGCTTACGCTGTGTGTGCCCTGCTCTTGGACCAGGATCACCTTGACTCTGACCTTACAAGGGCCACAGTGTCGTAGGTGGTGCTGTTTTCCAGTTCCTTTCTCATCACTGTGCATGCACAGGTGACTGGTGTGCAGACTCTAGGAACTGGTGGACGGGATGGCTGCAGCAAAACCCGTCACAGCCATGGGGACAAGCAGGGTGCTCGTGAGAGGCGAGCAGACATGGGGCTAGCTACTTGCAGTACCTCTGAGCTGCGCTGGGGTCCTCTGCCTTGAAGCTGTAGAAGAGGGTTTTCTTGTGGTAAAGGTGGAACACGGGTCCTGCTTCGCTGCTGCCCTCCTTCTCGGGGGTGATGGTGAAGCCCAGCAGGGGCATACTCTCCATGGCTGCTTTGTCCTGTGGAGCGAGGACAGGAATGCCGGGGTCACACACCAACCACCCCACACACCACACCCTCCAGTCTGAGACCCAAGGAAGGACACAAACTGCACAGTGGGACACAGCTTAGTAGGGACCATGCATTTCCACCCTGATTTTAATGAGGACAGAAGCTGCCATCTCTGGTCTAAGAAACAGGCACAGAGAAGGGAGTGGCCCAAAGTTGCACGGCTAGTCAGGGGCAGAGCGACCCTGGCCCGGGGCCACCAGCTCACCCCACATTCTTCCCAGAGGCCTGAATAGTCATCAGTGGGCTCTGTGGATTCACTTGTGATAATGGATTCTGTGCTGATTCTCCCTGCCGTGCCTCGGTATGAAGCCAGGGGGCAGGCTTGACGACAGGTACCCAGGGGCAGAGACGGATCTTAAAACAGTGCTCCATGGAAAAAGCTTTTCACATACAATGATATTTTTGTACTTGGGTACATAAGAAACACGTTCACCAATAATACAGGCTTTGTAAAAACAGACAAACACATCAGAGTGGAAGGGGGAGAGGGAGAAAGGGGAGTTTGTGTAAAAAAGTTTGAATCAATTTCAAAGACTGCTAATCCAGAACCCATTCAAGATAAAGCCAAATGAGTAGGAATAATAAAGTACAAATGAGTAGGAAGGAACTAGCTGTCTGATAAAGAACATTAATAAAACACCCACAGCTCACATCACAAACGTTTGCTCGTAAACTACTCAGTACCACACTCTGCAGGGGTCCTAGCCATCATATCAAGGCAAGAAGAAACAGATCAGAAAGGAAGAAGTAAAATTCTACACTTGTGGACAACAGGACTGGTTATAAACAAGTGCTAGGGGAACGGGCACTGGGGCACAGCATGTTAGGCTGCTGCTTCAGGTGCCCTGTACGCCATGGTGGAGTGCCTGGTGTGATTCCTGACTGCACCATGCTTCTGGTCCAGCTCCTTGCTAATGCCTCCTAGAGGCAGTGGATGATGGGCCACTTATCTGGGTTCCTGTCTACGAGAGAGACCCAGATAGAGGTCCAGGCTCCTGGCTTCAGCCAGGGCAAAAAGTTGCTCTCTGGGTCCAGCACTGCGGTGCAGTAGGTTCATCCTCCACCTGTGGCACCAGCATCCCATAGGGACGCCAGTTCTAGTCCCAGCTGCTCCTCTTCCAGTCCAGCTCTCTGCTATGGCCTGGGAAAACAGTAGAAGATGGCCCAAGTGCCTGGGCCCCTGCACCTACATGGGAGACTGGGAGGAAGCACCTGGCTCCTGCCTTCAGATAGGCGCAGCTCTTACTGTTGCGGCCACTGGGTAGTGAACCAATGGACAGAAGACCTTTCTCTCTGTCTCTCCCTCTCACTGTCTAACTCTACCTCTCAAATAAATAAATAAATAAATCTTTTTAAAAAGTTGCTTTCCAAAGTTCATGCACTGATGGGGGAACCCACACCTTCCAATTTCAAGTCCTTTGCAACTTCATTTTGCAATTAGAACTGAGGCTTTGGGAGATCAAATGGTGCTCTTGCCTCAGAATTCCTCTGAGGGTCTGTGACAGAAAAAGGAAAAGCAGGGGCCAGCCCTATAGGTTAAGTCACTGCTGGTCACAGTGGCATCCTGTATGGTAACACCAGTTTAAGTCCCACCTGCTTTGCTTCCCATTCAGCTCCCTGCCAATACACCTGGAAAGGCAATAGATGATGGCCCTGCCAGCCATGTGGGAGACCCAGAAAGAGTTCCAGGCTCCTGGCTTCAGCCTGGCCCAGCCCTGGCTATTGTGGGTAACTGGGGAGTGAACCCTAAGATGGAAAATCACTGTCACCCTGCCTCTCAAATAAATTTTAAAAAAGAGCAATCTGAGGAATGTTAGCAAGGTCACAGGATAATCAGTGTTTTTGTTTTTTAAACAGATATGGAGGTACTTCAAAGAATTAATGGAAAGTGGAGTAAGATAATTTTATTGGGGTGGGTGCTATGGCACAGTGAGTTAATCCACTGCTTAAGACACCCATGTCCCATATTGGAGTGCCACTTTGAGTCCTGCCTACTCTGCTTCCAATCTAGCTCCTTGATAATGTGCCTGGGAAACCGTGGACAGTGGCAAAATATGTGAGTTCTTGCCACCCACACTGGAGACGCAGATGGAGCTCCTGATTCCTCACCTCAGCCCACTCCAGGCTGTTGCAGCCTTTTGTGGATTGGACCAGCAGATGAAGATCTCTGTCACTCTGCTTTTGAAATATTTTTAAAAAGATCATTCTGGAGCTGGTGCTGTGGCGTAGTGGGTAGAGCTACTGCTTGCAATGCCAGCACCCCATATAGGCACTGGTTGGAGACCTGGCTGCTCCACTTTTGATCCAGCTCTCTGCTATGGCCTGGGAAAGCAGTAGAAGATAGACAAAGTCCTTGGGCCCCTGAACCCGCATGGGAAGACTCAGAGGAAGCTCCTGGCTCCTGGCTTCGGATTGGCACAGCACCATCCATTGTGGCCGATTGGGGAGTGAACCAGCAGATGGAAGACCTCTCTTATCTTCCGCCTCCTCGCTCTGTGTTAACTCTGACTTTCAAATAAATAAATCTTTTTAAAAAATCATTCTGGTTAAAAAAGTTAAAATCCATTCATTTTTTGCATTGATATAAACGCCTATTTTCTACCTGAACCTTGTAAAGGGCCCTTTTATATTCCAGCAGCAAACAACTACAAACTGTTCAAAATAAGAATAAAATTGCAAGAAGTACAAGAACAAAAGTCTAAGACCTCTACACTAAAAACTTCAAAATATTTAAAAAGAAACTAAAGAGCTAAGTAAGCGAAAATTTACACAAATTTCGCAGGTTAGATGATTCAATATGAAGATGTCAATTGATCTATAAATTCAACAATCCCTATTGTATTTTTTGCAGGCTTTATGATAAATTAGCAAGTTTATATGGAAACAAAAGACACAATATATCCCAAATAATCTTAGAAACAAAGTTGGAGGCTTGAGCCCAACCTCAAGACTTACTATGAAGTTACAGTAAATGTGGCAGCATGATACAGGAGTGCCGAGTGTCTACGAGAAATATCAGCCCAAAAAGCGACTCACGTCTGTCCAGTTATTTGCTGCTTAACAAAGATGCAAAAAGAAACCAACAGAGAATGGAGTATTTTCAACAAATGGTGGTGCAACACCTGGATATCCACTAGGGGAGAAAAGAGCCCTAACCACTGTCTCACACCATGCACAAAAATGCATCTGAGGTGAACCTCCGTCTAAAAACTAAGCACTGCTATTTGCAGAAGAAAATACTCTGTGACATGCAGCAGACAAAGACTGTTTGGCCGTGGCAGACAACAGCCATCAAAACAAAACACTGGTTATAGACCTGCACCAATCACAAGCTCCGTCTCAGGGCGGGCACTCAGCCTGGGGGCCGACACCTGCCCTGCTCACTGGAGTGCCTGGGCTTGATTGCCGGCTCTGCCTCTGACCCCAGCTTGCTGATGATGTGCACCCTGGTAGACAGTGCTGATGGCTCACACAGCAGGATTCCTGCCGCCCACGTGGAAGCCCCAGCTGTGGTGAGCTTTGGGGAGCACAAGGGATTTACCACCACCCCCCCCAGGTGTCTCCACCTCTCAGACTTAAAAAATTGGCTGTGAAGTAAATCAAGAAACAAGCCAAGAGATTGAGAGAATATCTGTGGAATAGTTATCTGACAAAAGATTGGGCTCTAGAATATATAAGTAACCCCCTCAATCATTAACAAAATGACACAACCCACTTTAAAAAATGGGCAAGAGATGTGAATACATCTCTGAATGGCCAAAAAGTACATCAACGTCCAGGGAACCAAAATTAAAACCACTTTGACTTACCACCACACTCCTGGAGAATAGCCCAAAGTCAAGTCAACACCAAGTACTGGCAAGAATGTGACGCAAGCAGAACTCTCAAATGCACAATCCCTGAGCTGCGCTGTGGCTCAGTGAGTTAGGCAGCCACTTGTGACACCGGGAGTGCCAGCTGGAATGCTGGCTCCCCTGGGAAGGCAGTGGAGGAGGGCCTCAGTGCTTGAGCCCTGAACCGACACGGCAGCCCAGGACAAAGCTCCTGGCTCCTGGCTCCGGCCTGGCCCACGTCTGGCATTGGGGTCATTTAGGGAGTGAACCAGTAGATGGAAGGTATTTCTCTTTCCCTCCCTCCCTCTTTCCCTCTCTTGCTCTCTCCCTCCCTCCCTTCCTCCCCACCCCCCTTTGGTGCTCTGCTTTCCAAATAAAATTTTTTTTTTTTAAATCCACACACCTTGGATTGGAAAAAGATGCAGCCATTTCTTATAAAGCAAATGTGTACCTCCCTTGGGGATCCAGCAGTTCCAATCCTAGCTGTTTACTTAAGTGAAATAAAAACTTATGTTCACACAAAAACCCGTATGCAAATGTTTAATGTGGCTTTACACACAACTGCCCGAAACTGGAACAGTGCAAATGCCCTTCAGCTGGTGAGTGATCAACAGATTGGTGTATTCCCCAAACAGGATGGCTCACCACACAAGGAGCGCAGCTTGCCAGAATCAAGCACATGGATGCCTATTATGGCCAACACGGTGAGTGGAAGGAATCGCCCGGGAGTCCATTTACAGCAAGATCGCAAAGGGGCAAAACTGACCAATGGGGGGTGAGAAACAGAAGAGGCTGCTCCCCCGCCCTCGGCACAGGGCGAGGGTAGTTATCTAGAGGTGCAGCATCAACCAAAACCCTTCTAACAGAAGGATACCAAATAGAAGCACATCAGTGCCAGGTGATATGGGCTCCAAGGCTGACACCAGCTTCCCACTGCTGTGCAGCCCAGGAGGCAACAGCTGCTGGGAGACCCAGAGTGGGTTCTTGGCTTCAGGCTTTGACCACCCCCAACCACTGAAGGTGTCTGGGCAGAGTGGGCTGGCAGATGGGAGCTCTCTTATAAAATAATAAAAAAATCAAAAAAGATACACAAATATTGAATTCTTTATGGGGAAATATTTTGAAAAGCAACAAAAAAGAGAGGGAGAACCAGTAGACACTCCATTACGGAGGGCAGAGAGAGAACTGTGTCACCATGCCGTAAACTCTGTCATGTCTTTGGAAGCTGCTGTAATAATGTACACAATACAGAATAAAATGTTAGAAAATAAAAAGGTCCTACACACTGCCGGCAGTCACCTCCCAGGATGGTGCCGTGGAGCGAGTCTGCCATCTCCGGGCCAGCTGGGGGGTCCCTGCGGGGGCACTGGCAGCATGCCCAGAAACCTATCCGTTTCCTCAAAATCTTGGTTTTTGGATGGAATTTGGAAAGTGCCATCCCATCCCTAGAACAAGCTTATTGAGACATCATGTTTGTTCCTCCCTCTGCAGGAAAAATCTGCCGTGGAGCCAACCTGGCTTTAACGCCAGCCGGTGTGGTCACTGCTGTGACTGGGGCTTCTGTCCTCACACAGGACTTACTTCTCGGGCAGTTACTTCAGGGTCACCACCTGCATCAGAGCCTGCATTTCTTCGTCAGCTGTGTCCTGTGCAACAGCAGTTCTGCCCGAGGCTCCGTGAGGAGAGGGCAGGATCAGGCAGCGTGGGAATGGCCTCTGGGGATTCTGAGGGCAGGCCCTGCTGACTCTACTCAGGGCCCCTGGGAACCCAGGCTCTGACACCTGCTCTAGATGCTGCTGCTCGGGCTGCAAGCAGGTGCAGAGCACCTGTCAGTCTGTGACAAGTAGAGGGCGCCTGTGACCGCCAACGACAGGAGCGCCACCTCTGCCGCAGCTGCAGGGCCTTTGAGAGGGAAGCTCTCTGTTCTGGGCGAGAAGGCCTGGCCTGCATCTGGAACCCACAGGACAGAAGCCCTTCGTGTGACCCAACAGGTACAGCCGGGGGCAGGACCTCACCTCTGCCTGCCCCAGGAGCAGGCGACTTCCATGGCCTTCTTGCCTATACTTTGGATGATGTAAGAATACAACTTCCTACAAAGATACACATCTCAAAAACAAAAGCTGAGGTGCGCACTTCAGGGTATGTGCTGCCAGTTACCAGTTAGCCTGGTAAGAGAAGAGGACAGGCAGGAGGGCGGCTTCCTCCACGCTGCCCTGTGGTTCCAGGCAGCCGGGGTGGAGACCAAGCGCAGTGCCTCCAGCACACCTGGCTCACCTGACGTGCTGTGCAAGTCTGTGCCGCACAGGTCTGCGTGCCACACAGGTCTGCGTGCCGCACTGTGCTTGCCTGAGGCCGGGTGGCTCTGCAGGTGGCAGGACACATGCAGACCCCGGGTGGGGACTCTAAGCAGGGGCTCGACCTGAGTGAGTGCGCGCACATCCCCTACCTCGCTGGCCATGTAGGTGTAGAGGACTTTGCCTTTGATGACGAACCAGAGCTTCTTCCAGTGCCGCTTGCCCTTCTTACTCCGGCTGAGGTAGCCGCTGATGGCGGAGCCCTCTCCGGAGGCAGCCACCTGTGGATGGGAGGCAGAGCGGTCAGCACCCCAGGGGGTGGACACAAACACGGCCAAGATGACTTCGCGAGCTCGGGCAGCCTGCTTGTCCTGCTTTGCAGTCTGATGCCTGGGCAAAGTCTCAAGATCCATCCAGTACCAAAGTCAGCAAAGCAGAACTTGGTGGCTGAGGAACAGCATTGGCTGGACGGACCCCGGAGACGCAGGCTTCAAAGTCGCCTCTGGGAGTGCTGTCCAGAGGCTTCAGATCCTGGGTTCCCTCTGCCCAAAACCCAGACCCTTGAATCATGGGCCTTGGGTTCTTCCCTAAAACACAGCCTCACACTTGCAGCTCCTGTCTGTCTGGGGGGTGGGGTGGGGGGGATCCTGCCTGCTTCCTGACTTCCTGCCTGGAGGGCGAGGGTGAGGGCACAGCAATTCCTTGAGCTCTCTGGTGGTGGCAGTGGTGAGCTGGCCCGCGGTGGTGCTCAGGAATGCAGGTGCTCCTTACCGGGGAAGGGGAATCAGATGACGAGACAGGGAAGTCCCCAGGCATTTAATACAACATCTAAAGCAAGACAACCAAAGTGCAGAAAGAATTTCGTCTGACCTCATCTTGCAGGGAGGGGACAGAGGGATCTACTGAAGGCCTCCCCACTGAGATACCCGGAGCGGAGCAGCTCAGACTGCCCGGCAAACATCCCGGAGCGCGGTGAACTTCAATTTTGGGAAAGCTCTCTGCAACCAGCTCAGGCTGTCTTGAGAAGCACCAGGAAAGGGAACTGGCCTTCAACCCTGCGCCTGCTGCAGGAGCTAAGAGCTGACGCTGGCCATGGGCTCTGGCTCCCGCTTTCCCTGCTGGGGAGACGCCACAGAGTGAGAAGGTGGAACGTGCCAGGGGATGCCGACTGCAACCTCCTGCTGGCAGGTGCTTTGTGGGGGTGCTCCAGGAACACGGAGGCAGTGGGAGTGGGGAGACGTGGGCCACCGCTGATCCCACCAAATGCAGGTGTGGCTGGTCATCTGGGGACAGAAGCCTCCAGGGCGTTCCCTGAGGTGGCCCAGTGACACCAGCATCAGCTGCCTGAGTCTAGTGGTGTTCTCAAACTCCCCGCCCACGGCCCGCTCTGGTTTCATGAGCCTGACTCACACGCACCCCTGAGAGCTGTAGCGGCTTCTGTTGGTCTGTGGAATGGGCTAGCTCAGTAGACAGTGGGACAGCCACAGCCTACGCAAACACAGCCTGGGTGTATGAGCGAATGTGAAATGACCTCTAAGCTGGATTAAGTGACAGAGAAGAAACTCACTTTTCACACATGGTCTCTTGGGGGGAAAATTAGCACATCTATGCTATTTCCAAGATCTGACTTGCAGAAGGAGTAAGGAAAGGCACAGAACTGCTGTCCAGGTTTTCCAGTCCCTAGCATTTTTTTCAGCCTTTGCCACCTGCTACTTGGTCATGAATATTCATGGGGAACCTCAGTGTGCCGGGCACACACTGGCAGAGCTATGACTAGAATACAGACACGGCCTGGTCCCCAGCGGCATGCAGCCGAGTCTAGGCAGCCCCGAGCTGTCCAGAGTCCCAGGGCCCCCAGGGTGACAACACAGCAGAGCTCAGAGGGCCTGCGGTAGGCAGCAGCTCCTCGAGACCACGGTGTCCAGGGATGCACTCAGTGTCCACTGGGCACATGCCCGGTCTGGGCCATGGGCCAGAGAAGCGAGAAGGCAGGAAGATGCCTCCTGGCTCCGTCCACAACTGCTCCCAGGCCCGCCCTCTGCCACCAAATGGGAGTCTCCTCTCACGCTGGGCACGGCTGGCAAGGAAGCCGGGGCACTGGCTTCTGGGTGTACCTGGCACGTCTCCCACTAGGAACCCTCTTTGTCCCAGAGAAACTGGCCAGGCGGGGATGGGGCAGGGGGTCTGACCCTGCCAGGTCCTCCCCGACTCCCCTCCAGGCGGCCAGACCCGCCCTACCTCCGTCAGGGCCGAAGGGACTTTCTTCTGCTTCTTGAAGGCCGCAGGGTTGATGCCTTGGAAGACGGACGAGAAGGCGCTGCCCGAGAAGCGAGGCGAGGACAGGGGGAAGCTCATGCTCACGGGCCGCTCTGCGGGGTGACAGTGGGCAGCCTGCGAGTCCCATGGGGTGCTGGGGCCGGCCTTGCCCCTCCTGCCGACACCCGCAGAGCTGTGCACCTGGAGAGCGGACGCTTGCCCAGGGCCACAAGTGGCTCTTCTCCAGGACTGGGCTGTACCCCCATGCCCCGGGTGGCCCAGGGATGGGGGAGGGAAACGCTTTTCCTCCCCCCTGCCTCTGCCTCGGTATGGCCTGTGGGGAAGCAAGGAGTCTCCCACGGGGCCGCCTCAGCTTCCCCCAGCTCTTCTCAGGGGGCGCCATGCCCCTCCCAGCCCACAGCCCCTCTGCTGTCAGCCTGCAAGTCCTCCTGCCCTTAGGAGGGCCCCACGGAAGTGTTCCTTCTGGGAGCACTGGGCAGCTGTCCCCAGAGCCAGAACTTTGAGGAACTGTCTGGCAGGGACTGGAACCTCTGCTTCCTTGGGGCCTCTCCCCCTCCCCTGGTGGCAGGGTTACCTCTCAGCAGACCGGGGACGGGCCCGCCCCTCTTCTTCAGCTCCCCGAAGCAGCCGTCGCAGACCTTGGCCATGCGGTCCTTGAGGTACTTCAGGGGATACTTGTTCCGCGAACAGTTCCGGCACACGATCTGCAGATGTGCAGACAGCACGGGCCCTGGCTCTGTGTGCCTGCCCCGCCGCCTCCAGGGGCCCCGCGCTGCCCCCACCCCGCTGCACCTTCCTTGTCTCCCAAGGACGATCAACAAGGATGCTACCAGCTTATTCTGAAAACACAGCAATGCCATGGGCTGCACCTGAGATTTGGAGCCCTGGGCAGAGGGGGTCAGTGGAAGGGGAGCTCCTCTGGGTAGGTACAACCATGCCCGGCTCTGGGCCCAGGCACAGCAGCAGCTGCCTGGCCCCAGCCCCGCCCCCACACACATGCCCACCGGCTGGGGAGACTCACCTTGCCACAGGCATGGCAGTGGTGGCGCCTCAGGGTGAGGGAGAAGTCGCAGCCACAGTTCATGCACATCATGACGTGTGTGACAGGCACCAGGGTGGGGGGTCTCTCGCCCAGGCTGACTCCCAGCCTCTCCCGGATCTGCAGCAGGGGCATCAGGCGAGTGGTTTGCTCAGGACAGTGCTGGCCACAGCCGAGCAGACCTTGCCCCTGATCTCATGGGGTGCAGTGGTCTCTCATTCTGAAAACCCCTGGGCGCCTCTGTTTTGCTAATGGCAGTGGGAGACAGAGCTGGACCATGAGGCGCAGCTGGGGGTGCTGTGCTGCTGGCCGCACAGAGCTGCCCCACCAGCTACTTGTGGGGAGCAACCCGGACTAGACTGAGTTACTGGAATTAAGACTTATTCTATGCATCTGCTCTCCCACAATATGGCGCTGGGAGAGAAGAAAACAGCTTCTACACAGGTGCCTCCAGTTCAGCCAATAAACTGTAGGACTCGCTCCTGATTGGAGGAGAGCAGCGTACTCGGCGTGTGGGCAGCCGAGTTGGGATTGGTGGAAGAGGACTATAAAGGAGGAGAGAGACGGCATGCACCAGGAACATCTAAGGGGAACATCTATCTGAAGGAACACCTGTGCAGCCCCCGAGAGCTGGCCGGTGGTGTGCCGCTCCCCCGCGGAAGTGGGGAATGTGGCAGGGGGAACCGCCCTTCCACGGAGGTGGAAGGGTCGGTAGCCAACCCGGGAAGAACCAGCAGCAAACCCGGGGAGGGCCGAGCAGACGAAAAGAACAGCGCAGGGTCCTGTGTCGTTCCTCCACGAAGAGGGGGAGCGACATAATGGTGCCGTGACTCGGATATGAAGCCTAGGCAGGGTTCAGTGTCGCTCCTCCACGAAGACGGGGAGCGACACTACTCACCTCCACGCTGTGGTGGAATGCAGCCAGGGCCTGGGCCTTGTAGTCCTCGGGGAGGGCTCTGCTCAGACAGCCGTACCACTCGTCCCTTTCTGCACAGGAGCTGTGGGTACGGCAGCAGTGAGCCCAGGCAGGCACCAGCAGGTGGAGCCCCCACCCAGCTTCCCCTCCCTCGGCCCCAGACCTCAGCCACCAGAACCCGGCACTGGCAGACCAGGTCTGACCCTGAGCCCCTCACGTATGAGTGGCATGCACATAGACATGTCCTCTGGGCTCAGTGCTTCGTGGGAATCCCAAGAATCCTCTGAAGGGAGGTGTGGGAAGTGGAACACCATGTCCATGGCAAGCACTGTGCAAAAGCGAGGGCATCAGGCAGGCCTGGGGGTCCACATGTTGGGAGGGTCCAAGGCCTGGGTACCCTGTGGAGGGCAAGGGGAGGAGGGGAACTGGCCAGGGTTAACCTGTCTCAATCTTCCTCCCAACTCTCCCCCACAGCTCCCCAGACACGTGCTCACTCACGGGATGGACCTTCCAGGCACCCTCTCTGCCTGGCAGGGCTTCCAGAGTGGTAAGAGCCACACCTGGTCTGGGAGTTGCCAGAGCAGTGGTACCCTGGCCCAGGCCAGCAGCTAGCTGCAAATTCTCACAGTGTCCACTAGATGTCGCACCTACCCTGCACATAAGCAGTGGCCTGCCCCTGGGACCTCCATGCAAGAAAAAGGGACCAGTTGGGGCTGGAAGGGAGGGAGGGTGGCAGCCAGAGGCCACGTCACTACTGCTGTCCCTGGGGGCTTCAGCACAAACAGACTAGGCCATCAGGAGAGTGACAGTGGTTCAAGGTCAGAGAGCGAGGCCCTGCCTAGGGAGACGGGCAGCCCCACCTGAAGGTCCGAGCCTGACCTGTCCCAGCCTCATGTCAGGCAAATGGACACCATGCTCTGTGCTTCCTGCCCGATTTTCTCAAGAGCAGAGGAGAGGTCACGACACTGCACCTCCAGGGAGTTTCCCTCACCTGCCCACAACGGGAGGTCACTCGAGACTTTCCAGGGCCTCATCCATCCCTCAGCCCCTGGACAGTACTGGACACGAGCTCCAGGTGACAGTCCTAGGACTGAATCCCAGTTCTGCCTCACGTGATTCTGTCACCTCCTCCAGGGATCAACCTCCCCACACAGGAGAGGGGCTGGAAGCTCCCCTAAGGGTGAGGAGGCCCCCGAGACCCGGCTGGTGTCCACGGCCTGTGACTGCTGTCACCACCGTCCAGATCCACCTGACAGCTCAATGTCCCGAGAACATCAAGGCTAAACTGTCTGTGCTCCAGGCACTGTGGCGTGGCTGCTGAACGCTCATGAGCCTCAGGGCCATGCCCACAGGCAGGATGACCCCCACACAAAGGGCCCACGGGCACCCAGGCCATGCTGGCCGATGGCGAGGACAGCCCAGCTGCAGGAGCCCCACCCTACCCCACCATGCCCACCTGGCCTGAGAGCTCCCTCCCTGGTCTGAGCCCCCAGAGCTGGAGCTCACCTTGCCTTGAGAGGGGACGTGGGGAGGGAAGAGGGAGCCCTGGAAGGCCGCAGCCTGAGGGTGTGATGAGGGACCCCTGCTGTGGGCAGTGTCCCACAGCGTGTCCGCCTCAGATCCCCATGGTGAGGTGAAATCCACAGCCCAGAGCAATGGGAGTGGGGCCTCTGGGAAGCCACCAGGCCACGAGGTAGAGCCTCCTGAGTGGGGTTTAGTGTTTGTACAAAAGTGCCCGAGGGACCCTGGCCCTGTCCACCTGAGAGGACAGCAGGACACCAGGCAGGCACCATCCCATTGAGAACAGGCCTTGCCAGAGACCGAACCTGCCGGCACCTTGCTCTGGGCACCTGGCAGCCTCCGGGCTGTTGTCACTGCAGTACACGGGGACAGAGCTGCCCATTGTTGGCCTGCACACAGGCCAGGCCCTCCACGGCCTAAGGCAGGAGCAGGAGATGGTGTCTTAGGCACCCACAGGTCGTCTGCAAGCCTGAGACACGGTTGAGTGTGACCACAAGTTTCTCATAAAAAAAAACCTCATGAACACATGCATTTCTTCTGGAGACAGATGCCAGTTTTTAGCAGGTTGTCAATGGGGCTGAGAATGACCCCAAATGGCTAAGAAACCTGCTCGGAGGTCCTGGCATCCCAGGCCGGCAAGATGGACGCGCAGGCCCACCCTGCCCCTGGCCCCCCCCCCCCCCCGCCCCTGCCCACCTCGCAGACAGCAGCAGGCAGGACTCCGGAGTCTCGATCTTCAGCGCATAGGGCACCTTCTCCGTCACAGGGCGGCTGACCTGCAAAACCACGGGCAGCTCCCTTCAGGAGGGGGGGTGGGGGCAGGGGCGCTGGCCAGAGCTCCTGAGGCCTGCCATGCTCCGAGCCTCAGTTCCCACGTCTGCAACGGGCACACCTTCCATCTGTGATGGCAGAAGCTGCCGGAGAGGATGAGCTGCGCACGTCCTCACTCACCCACCCCCAGGAAGGCTGCCTCCCATGCCTCCCACAGCCTCCCACAGGCCCCTGGGCTCCGAAATCGAACAAGCTTGCTGAGACACATCCAGCCTCCCTCCCCTTCCAGGTGAAGAGCCTACAGGATCAGGAGGGACCCTCAGGCTCTCCTTGCCAGTCCAGTCTGCCCTGGACACCACCACCACCTCCTGCTGCGCTGTCCCCCAACAGGGCGGGTGTCGGCGCCAGAATCGGCTTCCTAAAACCTCTCGTTCCCCGAGAATCCTGGAGGTCACACAGGGCCACCCACAGATGCACACCCAGGGTCACAGAAGCCAGGTGTGGGCAACCCCGTGCCCTGATGGCTGACAGAGGGTGTGACCTGGCCCTGGGAGGGGAGCAGGGTCTGGCCAGGGAGGGACCCTGAGGGCGTTAGGAGCAGCCATCAGCCATCACACAGGACAGGTGCTGTTGGTGTGAGGTCCCAGAGTCAGGTTCAGAGACAGATGTGGGGGTGGCTTTGCCAGTGAGGAGCGTGGTCAATGAGCTTTCAGCGGAGGAAAACAAAGCCCTGGGCACGGATGGGGCAGGGCCTGCACGCGGCTACGTGCTCCATGGGGATGACCAGCAGGCGCCCCAGCGCCCTGCACGCTGCATGCCGCGTCACGTGTGGTTGGCACAGTTGAGACAAACGACCGAGCGCCTGCTTGCGCTGCCTCCAGGTCTGCCTTTACGCACCGTTCCCCGCAGGCCGCCCTTCCCTGGCTCCGTCCCACACTGGATCCAGTGTTACCCACACCAAGGGCCCCGGGGCCAGTCCTCTGGGGGGCCCTCCCTCCCTGGCCTCTGGCTGCTCTGGGTGCCCCTGGCCGTGGGCAGTGGGGCTGCTGCCTCCTCCGCCCCCAGGGTGCCCAGCACCTGAGACTTGCCTTCATGCCGGCCACGGGCAGCGAGCTCTTCAGCCGGTACTTCCCGTCCTTCAGGGGATAGGTGTACAGAAGCATGTCACTCATCTGTGGGGGGGACAACACGGCACATGTGGCCAGCCCAGAAGGCTGTGCAGGGCTGCTGTCGGGTGCACAGACACGTGTGCTCTGGGTGACAGGCGCACAGGCGCTCAGAGGGGTCGGAACCAGAGCATTCACGGCAGCTCTGCGCCTGATGGCCCCGCAGCACAGGGGCCGCCGGCCAAGCCCGCTGTGTCCACGCCACGGAGCCCTACCTGGCAAGCAGAGGTGACTTATTGCCAACGCACGCCACGGTGTGTTTCCTCATGAGGCTGCGAGCAGCAGCCATGAAGAGTGACCACGAAGCACAGGAGCGGCAAGCAGAACCCGCAGATAGAAGGCGAAAGCCGCCCAGAGCCCCAGGGGCCCCGAGATGGGTGCGGCCTGCCACCGCCCGGCCCCTCCCTGCTGCACGTCTCATGAACATTAAACCACGCTAGGCCTCCTGCACGGGGGACAAGGTGCCGGACCGGGGTCATCGCCCTGAGTTCCTTCCAGGCCTCAGCGGCCGACCCGCTGGGAGACCCGGACAAGACGGCTCTCCTGTCTGCGCGAGGTTCTCTGGTGCACCGGGCAAGAGCCTCATCTTGAAGACTGCTGCGGTCCTCCCTCCGTCCTACCGCCCTTGGCTATTGGCCCCAGAAAATTCTCAGAGCTCGACAGCTCCGGGGCTTGGTTCTGGGGCCGGGGACTCACCAGAAACAGGTGCCGGGGGTGTCTGCTCCTCCCAGTCACTTTCAGCAGCGTCCCTTCCTTCACAAACTCCTGGAGGGGTGAGGCAGAGTTGGGGTCCGGGGTAGGAAGGCGGCAAACCTGTCACAAATCCTCCCGGAGAGCCGAGTGGCTCCGGGACAGCCAACCCAGCCTCGGGGCAGCCACCTGGCAGTGCACCGAGCCCCGCCCCGAGCTGCTCACGGTGGTCCGGCCACGACTCCCACCCTGTGTGCCACTGCCGGGTCCGCTCAGACCAGAGGGCCGGAAGCTTTGCTCACACAGCTGACAGCTATGGGCAGCAGCTATGGCCCCCTTAGTATCGGACCACAGGGTCAGTAACTAACGAGTGGACTCGGGTCCCAGCCCAAGTGCTCCATGTGATTTCACACAATCTCCCCAGGCCATCTCCCCTCCTTCTGCCTCCTGTTCCTCGTGGACCACCACTGGCGAGGATCATGGTCTTTACCACTCTGCAGCCGAGCTGCGTGTTCTCCACCCAGAAGCTGGAACGGGAGTCAGTCAGTGTCCTGGAGGAGGTTATTTTTAAGGGACTGTATGGGGCTCACTCTGGAAAGCTCTCTGCTTTCCTGGCGACTGGGGGCTCAAAGCACTGGTGCCTTTTGTAGTTCAGAGAACCGCAGCGAGCACGGGCCACTGGCACTGTGCCTCGCGGCCGGCCGAGAGCACGGGCACGGAATGGACAATGCCGGGGGAGGTGGTCGTGGGCCAGTGGCGCGAACCCAGACAGCTTGCACCCCGCCCCCCTCCTGTCTGGGGCCAGCCGGCTCACCAGGGAGGCTTATCAGCCGGAGCCGCCCGGCCACGGCCCCTGCCCGGCGGCGATGCACTCACCCTTCCTGGCTGGAGGAGATCCCCTTGGCCTCGAACGCTGTGCTCGATGTGGACCAGCTTCTGCAGGTTTTCCTGCGGCCAGAGCGGGAAGGGGGGAGGCGGTCAGAGCCCCCGTGAGGGTCCTATCTCTGCTGCCAGGGCTGGGCTGCTTCTGTTTCACAGGAGGGAAAAGGGGCCCAGAAAAGCACTGCCCAAACTTCAGCCTCCCAAGAGTGGCTGGGTGTGCAGGCCGCCAGGGCGGGGTGCTGTGCATGACCAGGCCTCTCCTGATGGGCCCGATGTCTGCCATTGCAGTCTGCCTGGGTGCCACGGACACAGGCACATCTGACACTCTGTCCGTCTCCGGCCTCCTCCTCCTCCTCGAAGCCTGGAGCACCCAAACTCATTAACCAGGGACATCGCACTGTTGAAGCCTCACAGCTGAAAACATATGGTGCTTGGGGCCACCCACTGCCCTGTAGCCTCTCACTGTATAACCCCCAAAGTGCAGCCCTGTGCAAGCCCTGCGCGGTACACAGCTGTCCCCCGAACCTGGCACAGGGCCAGGTTACAAAGACACATAGTGAGGTGAGAATGGTGTGCAGAGAAATCAGCTTGAGAAGCCTTTTATGTTTCCCATGGTTTGGGGTATAAAATCCCACACGGTAACCATGTGCAAGAACAGCTAGTTTATGACATAGAAAGCTGCAGGAGAACGTGGCTCCTGCGCTGACAGTGAGAAAAAGCCGGGAATCTGCCCATGAGACAGCGGCGACAATGACTGAACTGAGGACTGACGAGCCCTGCAAGGATCCGGCTGTGGCCACACCACGGGAAGAGGTAGGAGGCCCCAAGGAGGCCACAGGCCAGCAGCTGCAAAGTTCACAGGCATGGAAAGCTCAGGTGTGGGCTGGCGGCACAGGCAGGACTGACACAGCCACAGACCCTCCTGCAGGCTCTGCTCCAGGGGTGGTGGCTGCGGCCCCCATGGGTTGCAAAAGCATGGAAGTGGCCAGGGCAGGGCTGGTGCAGAGCCCTGCGCACTTCTCCCAGGCCTCTCAGTGGCTCAAGGCATCAGTCACTGGGGAAGGCCAGAAAACTCTCCCACCCCTGGAGCCCAGGCAAGGATGCTCTGCTTCTGGGAAGAGTGGGAATGAAAGCTGCCTGCACACAGGGAGGGGAGAGCCACCCCACAGGCCCAGCACCAGCACCATTCAGAGCTCAGACACGGAAACCTGTCCCCGCCAGCCCCAGGACCGAGTCTGAGTTTGGGTGCCAGGGAGGGGAGGGGCTGGGATGCTTTGCATCCCACTGGGGTGGATACAGGAAGAAAGCTTCCAGTGTCCACTATGAGACCGGTACTGGGGCCAGTGCTGTGGCACAGTGGTTTAAACCGCCGCCTGTGATGCTGGCATCCCATATGGGCACCGGTTTGAGTCCTGGCTGCTCCATTTCTGATCCAGCTCCCTGCTAATGTGCCTGGATAGCAGCGGAAAATGGTTTATGTGCTTGGGCCCCTGCACCCATGTGGGAGACCTGGTAGGGCTCTCTCTCTGTCTCTTACTCTTCCTCTCTCCCTCCCTCCCTCTCTGTCTCTCTCTCTAAAACTCTGCCTTTCAAATGAATAAATAAATAAATCTTTAAAGTGGGGGAGAGACTGGTACTGAGGAACAAGGGGGGACAAGAGTGCGAGGAAGAGACGCTTTCTGTCTGGTGCACGGACTGCAAACTGTGGGCCTGCAGCACCACAGGCCCCAGCAATGCTCAGGGTAATGGCAATTCTGTTGCTGGAGGAACACAAAGGCTGGGGACAGAGGGTGAGGATGATGACAACAAAACTCAAACCACTCAACTGCCTCTACACCCAGCACCAATGGCACGCCCAGCAAAGAGGCCTGCCCACTTCCAGGGGAGCAGCTACAAGGCTTCCATACATAACATCTGGTGTTCAGATATTGTGGGAAACAGGCATATGCTCACACAACCATGGGGGAACCCTCCCACATCAACTGCAGGACAGAAAGAATTCAACAAAACCTGATCAGAAGGTGGCGCGAGTGCTGGAACTGTCTGATGGGGACTTGTTAGGGCCTGGTGGGAAGGGGGGTGATGTACATGGACAGACGGGGCACTGCAGCAGAGGCACAGACGACACAAAACAGGAGGGCTGGCACTGTGGTGTAGCGGGCAGAGCTGCCGCCTGCAGTGCCGGTATCCCATATGGGTGAGCTCCTCCATTTCCAATCCAGCTCTCTGCTATGGCCTGGGAAAGCAGTGAAAGATGGCCCAAGGCCTTGTCCCCTGCACACAAGTGGGAGAACTGAAGAAGCTCCTGGCTCCTGGCTTCAGATCGGCCCAGCTCCACAGTTGCGGCCATTTGGTGAGTGAAGCAGCAGATGGAAGACCACTCTCTCTCTCTGCCTGTCTATAACCCTGCCTTTCAAATAAATGAATCTTTTTTTTTTAAAGACTCAATGGGAAATGCTTATCAGTTTTTGAGAAGCACAAGAAAGGAATTCCTCTGACAGATGTAGCAGCAAACTGAATACAGCTGAAGAGAGAACTATGCACTTGAGGCCTGATCAGCAGAGACCCAAACTCGAACATGAAGAGAGTGGGGGCTGGGGCATGGAGAATGACCAGGGCACCCAGGAGACTTCCCCAAGATGCGGGGATGACAACCAAGCACAGCGCCAAGGAGGCTGAGGGGCACAACAGGGTGGACACCACCCCATCCCTGCCACAGACGCATCCCAGTCTAACTCCAGAGTCAGACACAGAGGGAGCTTGAAGGCAGCCAGAGCAAGGGGACGCTCATGACATAAAGGACCAGCTAAGTGCCACAGCGGACTTCTTGTCTGAAACTATGGAAGCCAAGGCTGCAGCCACACCTTCAACACCGAAAGAAAAGTCTGGTCAACCAAGATTTCTAATACCCAGGAAAAAAAATCCTTAAAAAAGGAAAGCAGATTCAAGGACTGAGTAAGTGGATGAGGGATGGGAGGAGCCAGGAGTCTCACTGGTGGACAGGGAATTACAGGTAAGCAAGGGGAGGGGGCTAGCATAATCCATGTGAGAACAATGAGAGCTGGGAGTATCAGTAAGAACTGTGTGTCACTCAATGCAAACACAGATGGTTGTGTGTGGAAATACACAGGTACACACACATACATACACACACAGTACACATAGGTACACACACGCAGACAGGTATGCACACACATGCATATAGATAGGTACAGGCACATAGGTACACAAACGCACACAGGTACAGACAGGTACACACATGCACATAGGGGCACACAGGTACACAGGCATGCACACAGGAACACATGCAAGGCAGCTCTGTGTCAGTTAAAATGGCCAGAACAGTGTGAGCACCGCTAGCGCCATCTTGGAACCAGGGTTTCTCGGAGAGGTGGCTGACTCTAGGACTGGGGTGAGGACCGACTAAGACGGGTGAGCCTGGAGCACCTTGCAGGACCTGAAAGCAAGGAGGAGCTCCAACGAACTCTGCAGGGAGGGGCAGGTGCTGTGTGGCACACGGATGTGTGGGAGGTGTGTGCGAGGTTGGGGTCTGACCCCGTGTATCTCCTGCACCCGGAAGTCAGGCCTGGTGGTCAGGACAGGCTCGAGTTCAAATCCGGCTCTCACAGCGACAGCAAAGCAACCTTCCCTGCAGACCAGAGTGCTCACTGCTGAGGCAGAGGCGGCCGTGCCTCCCCTCAGGGCAGTCTGAGTGTGGGTGCCGTGGGGCCCACGGCCGCATCTCCTGGCAGCGGGTGGAGGTGGCGTTTTCCTGCACAGACTTCCCATCCTGTCTTCCGGGCTGCTCCTCTCTATGCCTTCTTCTCCACAAGACATGGCACAGAGGGGTGGGGGGTGGTTTCCTGAACCCAGCTATTTCAGTCGTGTTCCCAGAAGCACCTCCAAGCCCCCAACACCGTCGGCGTGTCTATAGCTAGGGCTGGCCCCCAAATGCACGTCTCAATGGTGGCAGTTCGACCACAGTGGCCTGTGGCAGGTGGGCCCCGTTTTGGGTGTGAGAGTTGGGAACAGGTCCTCTTGTGCATCCTACCTCTGGCCCAGCTACCTTTGCCGGGAGTTCTGGTGATGTTCCGATGTGAGCCTAAACCCCAAGTGAACGCTGCCTCCTCCAGGAAGCCTCGCCTGACTTTCTAGCCTGTGAGTGCTCCCTAAGCTCTGCTGAAGGCAAAGCCAGGGCACTGCTGGACACACTGTAACAGTATCCCATCTGGTTCCCAGGTGGAGAACAGATAGGTGAACGCTAGGAACTGCCCACGCAGGAGGGGATGGGCCTCAAGCTGGGAGCCGGCGGGCGGGGCGGGGGGGGGGGGGGCTTGGTCCTCAGGAGCTCTCAGTCACGGGGCCCAGCCTTGGGGTCAGGTCTGTCTGGGGCCCAGCGGCCCTGTCGAAGGCAGAGTCCCTGCCCAGTTCCAGCAAGCACGGGTGGGGGCCTCGGATCCACACAGGCCTGGGCCAGCTGTCCACAGCCGTTCTGGGAGATGACGCTGAGCGGCCTGGAGAGAGCCTGGAGGGCGTCTGGCCACGGCCCTTCAGTCCCTCCCTCCAGGGCTGACAAGCACATGCGCTCCCCCCAGGACTCGGCCCTTGCTGACCTCACTTTGCTCCTGGGAGCAGAGGCAGTGCTGGCTAAGGGGAAGCGTGGGGGGCCCAGGCCCTCTGAGGCTGCGGCACGGCCCGGCCCACGGCACCTCTGCTTTGGGCTCCCTTGAAGGAACTGCACTGCACGCACAGGATGCCAAAGCCGTCGAGGGCGGGGAGCTCCGCAGACATCGGCGGGGGGAGGGCCCAGGGCCAGACGCCGAGGACACACAACTGACCCGCCCCAAGATCAGCCCTGGAAACTTGCCTTCGGCCTCCACACTCAGACACTCCAGCTCCCGTCTCGACTCCGCTTCCTCCCCTGTGCCTGTGCCCTGGTCAGCCCCTTTCCTCCCTCTGTCTTGTGTACAAACCCCATCCACGGGCACCTCTACTGCATCCTCACAGCCCCAGCTCCCTTCTCTGAACTCTGCACCATCCCAGCTCCCTCTCGTGACGCCGGTCCTGCTCAGGTGCACCACACGTTGAAAACCGGGATTCACACCTTGTCACCTCGGCGTCTCCTGACCTCAACAGAGCACCAGACTTGACACTCAGCAAGCGTCCAGTCAGGGCTACTGTCCTCTCTCTGCCTCCACCTTCACCGCCGCGGTGAGGATGAACAATCACCGGCATCATGGGAGACCTGAGTAATGGATCACCGAACTTTCTTCCCACTGGGCCAGGACTCAGCCTCGGAATCATTCTCAACACACAGCTCAGTGGAGCAGTAACTACCTGGACACAGTAACGATGGTAACTATGGAAATGCAGCTGGGATGCAGGATCAGGCTTGCCATCCTTGGCAGAAACCCAGTAAGCCCCGGATGAGCGTGCAACACACATAGGGTCTTAGATGTCTTGCTAAAAACGTGCATCTCCAAACCTCACCCAGACACCACCTGGGAAGGTCTGAGGTAGGCCTTGCAAGGCACGGGGTACCGAAGGTCCCAGGGCTGATGTGGTGGGCTCGGACAACAATCGGGCATTGCTTATCAGGCCTGGGTTTGAATGGTGAACCAGAGAAGGACGCACAGCAACTAGGGCCACACAGCACATGACAGCACATGACAGGGCCAGAACCCACTAGGCCATCCCTAGTGGGTGGGGCAGAGGGTGGGGCATCCTGGGGAAAGGGGCAGAGGTCTGCAGCCGCACTCACCCCTTGCTCCATGCTGTCGTTGGCACGGTCCGTGACTTTGGAGATGAGGGTCAGCACAGCTGGGGAGGAAAGCAGGCGGCTGGCTCAATGACGGGGCCGCCCTGCCCTTTCCCCATCCACTCGCCTCTGCTCTGCCCTGCCCCGACCCCTCTGCAACAGCCAGCTCTGGGGCGGGCGCCAACTTTCCTCACTTTGCTGTGTCACAGGCCCCACCCCTGCTCTGCCACTGCCCAAGTGACCTTGACAGTGACCTGGCCACTCCGTGCACTGCACGTTCCAACAGGGACGCCACGGAAAGTCCCATGCAGGGACAGTCACACAGGACTGGGAGGGAATGGGGAGATGAGGGTGAGCTTTTCAGACCTGGCACCACCTCCCGTCCCTGATTCCTGGGGACCCCTCCTCAGCTTCAGTCCACCCCCAGGGAGCTTCCCGGTCAAGTAAAGGCGAGTTTTCTCAGCACGGCCACTGGCGGGCAGGAGGCCGTGACCCCACAGAAGAGCCCCGGGCAGGAACAGGGGCCAAAGCAGGAATGAGCGTCCCTCCCCTTGGGGTTTGGTGGGCTTACCCTGCGTGTTGTCGTACTCGGCCGAGTCCGGGCACAGGTTATTTAAATAGTCTGTGGGCAGAAGCAGAGCCAGGGGTCAGCGACGCCGTCGTCCCCACCCTGGCCACACCTGGGCATGTGCGCCTGTGTCTAGAGGTGGGAAACTGTCCCCCAGCAGTGGGGCACCCACCCTCTCATTGCCACCCCAGGACCACCCTCCACATGGCTGCCACTGCTAGTCACTGGGCTATGCCTTGGGGCACAACAAGGTACAACCCTGCCCTCCCGCAGCACAGTGACAAGCAACATGGCGGGGCGGGGCATGTGCTCGGAACCTCTGGCACCTGCACGCCCTGCTCCCTGCCCAGCCTCTCTCCACCGCACTCCTCCTGCTCGAGCCACACTGGCACCCTTGCCCTTTCTTGAACACACCAAGCCTGCCCCTACCCCGGGGCCTGGCACTCTCGTGGTGCAGATCTCCATACGGCCTGGGGACTCGCCTCACTAGTTCCATTTCCAGCCACCTCCTTGGAGATGGCTCCTCCACTGCGCTCAGTGCAGCAGCCCTGTTCCCCTCTAGACCTCTAACCTGCTGCGTTTCCCTACTGAGTCCTTTTTAAAAAAGATTTATTTACTTGAAAGTCAGAGGGAGAGGGAGAGGGACAGAGAGAGAGAGAAAGAGAATCAGAGACAGAGATCAATCTTCCACAATGGCTGGGGGCTGGGGGGCTGGGTTAGGCCAAAGCCAGGAGCCCAGAAAGCCATCAGGGTCTCCCCCATGGGTAGCAGGGGCCCAAACACTCGGGCCATCTTCTGCTGCTTTCCCAGGCACATCAGGAGGGAGCTGGGTTGGAAGTGGCATTGCAAGCAGCAGTTTAACCCACAGCATCACGAAGCCTTTCGTTTTCACACTGACACTGTGTTCTCATTTCCACGTTTGTCTACAGTATAAACTCCACAGTGCCACAGCATTTGCCTATTTAATTCAGAGCTGTGTCTCCAGCACCTACCCTGCCTGGTATACAGTAAGTGCTCAATAAATGTTTGGTGGAAGAGACAGATGCAGTGTCTATGCCCGGCCCTGAGTAATCACCTCACAGCCCCTGGAGTTGCCCGTTGTCTCCGTGGGAAGAACACCTTTCCACTGAGAAACCCGATCCCCCCGGGCAGGGGTCTCTGCCGCTTTAGGGGGCAGCCGGGGACTCTGGAGCCCAGGGCAGAGGGGCAGGTGTTTGTAGCAGGTGTGGAGGAGGAGGGTTTGTAGAGGGAGCGGAAAGAGGACTTGAGGCAGGGTCCGAAGGAGCTCTGGTGCTTACAGGACCGTGGAGGAGACAAGGCCTTCACTGGCAGAAGGAGCAGGTAGGGGGTTTCAGATGGACAGGACCTCAAGCAAGGCTGGCGGCTGAAATGCCAGGGTCTTGGCCCCGAGGGGGGCTCTGGTTTAGAGGTGGGGGTGGGGGAGGGGCGGGGGGGATGGGGCTAGAGCTGGAGCTGGGGTTATGGGGTGGGAGGGGCTACTAGGGGCATGCAGGCAAGAAACGGAGAGCTCTGGCAGGGCAGGAGGTGAGGCCCCTCCTCATCCAGCATCTTAACCCCCACCCTTCTCGCCACACCCCTGCCCTGCTGTGGGCCCACCTGTGAGCAGCACTTGGTACTGGAAGAGGCGCTGAACCACCCTCAGGAGCCGATGTTTCACACCCTGGCTGCTGCCTTGCGCACTCTGCTGTTAGAAAGAGGTGGAGGGGAGGCCCCGTCACAGCCCCCAGCCGTCCCACCCACACTTCTTCCCGGTCAAGCTCAGCTTCTCCCCCATCTTCAGAACCAGGTCCCCACCCCTTCCAGGAAGCCCTCCCAGATTGGCCAGGCCCTGTGTGACTGCTCACTCCTCCAGGCTCACAGCGCTCGCCCAGGCCACACTTTGCTCGTTATGTCACTGTCAGAGATGAGCTGTGTCAGAACTGGATCCCATCTGTGGCCAGCGTCAGGCATTTCCTTGGCCACCCACTGGCTGAGGCCCCAGTCTGGTTTCTGCCTTTCAACTGGCACGGGAGACCAGCCCCCGAGGCTTACCAAGGGGCCGCCCCTTGCCACGTGGGGGATGCTCTGGGTTCTGCTCCCCGAGCTCAGATCTCCCAACCTGCCCCGTGGGTCTTTGGTCAGTCTAGGAATGCCCACCCCCAGCCCTGCACCCTCACAGCAGGGTTTCAGGGCACAGGGACCCACCTCGAATTCACGGACGGCCGCCGCCAGCTGCGGAGAGCGCAGGCAGCTCTCCGCGAGCAGAGCCAGGTACCTGTCGAACTGCAGAATGTGGGCAGTATGGTGCTCAAAGCCTTGCTCCCGCGTCAGGAAGACGTCGGCCACCTTCTGCTGGCCCTCCCTGCAGCCGGGGAAGGGCAGAGATGGCAGGAACTCAGCATAGGGCCAGCACAGCGGCGCCGGAGTCACACGGCTTGGTCCTTGTGTGCTGTTTTACTCTGGACAAACGACCTAACACCTCTGTATCCGGCTGCCTGTCCTCAAACCTGCACAGATGCGCAGGGCAGTGCCGGGGTCCCTCCACCCCCCCTCCCAGGGGCCACGGCAGCAGGGTGGGGGCAGCCGCTCACCACTCAGACAGCCGCTCCTGCAGCTCCTCCAGGATGCCCTGGTGAAGGTCAAGGATGGCAGGGAGCTCGTCTAGGCCCTGCCTCAGCTCCTCGTGGGCCAGCGGGTCCCTGCCCTCCGGGTCCATGTCGTCCAAGGCCCTTGTGACAGCGCCGTGGAAATCCTGAAAGTTCAAACAGCCTGTTACCTGTGGGGCGATGGGGCCGAGCACAGCCATGCCTGCAGGTGCACGTGAGCTTTGGGGCCTTGTCTGGTGAAGACTGCCGGGGGAAACCTCGGGCCAGCACCCCTTATGGTCACTTGGTGACCAGTCTTTTCCTTCTGTGAGGACATGTTCCCATATTCTTATTATGAAGTAGTTCATGTGCTACCTGGTTTCAAAACAAAGTCTAGGCCGGCGCCGCGGCTCACTAGGCTAATCCTCCGCCTTGTGGCGCCGGCACACCGGGTTCTAGTCCCGGTCGGGGTGCCGGATTCTGTCCCGGTTGCCCCTCTTCCAGGCCAGCTCTCTGCTGTGGCCCGGGAGTGCAGTGGAGGATGGCCCAAGTACTTGGGCCCTGCACCCCATGGGAGACCAGGAGAAGCACCTGGCTCCTGCTTTCGGATCGGTGTGATGCGCTGGCCTCCGCGCACTGGCCGCAGCGGCCATTGGAGGGTGAACCAACGGCAAAGGAAGACCTTTCTCTCTGTCTCTCTCTCTCTCACTGTCCACTCTGCCTGTCAAAAAAATAAATAAAAAAAAAAAATTAAAAAAAAAAAAAGCATTCACATTGGCCGGCACTGTGGCATAGTTAAACCTACACCTGCACCGCCAACATCCCATATGGGACAGGTTCAAGCCCTGGCTGCTTCACGTCTGATTCAGCTCTCTGCTCATGGCCTGGGATAGCAGTAGATGGCCCAAGTGCTTGGCCCTGCACCTGTGTGGGAGACCTGGATGCAGCTCCTGCTGCTGGCTTCGGATTGGTCCAGCTCCGATCCGAGTTGTGGCCATTTGAGGAGTGAACGAGCAGATGAAAGACCTCTCTCTCTGTCTATAACTCTGCCTCTCAAATTAATAAATCTTAATTTTTTTTTAAAAAGCATTCATGTCATGATAGAAAATCCAGACAGGATACAGGAGCAGGAATTCAGTGCAGCAGCCAATGCCACTGGGCATGGCAGCATCCCATAGCCTGCTCTGTGTTCAAGACCCCACCTCCCTGCCAATGCACACCCTGACCCTGAGAGGCAGCAGGGGACAGCTCAAGTTCCTGGGTCCCTGCCACCCACATGGGAGACCTGGATTGAGTTCCTGACTCCTGGCTCCCGCCTGGCCTTGCCCTGGCTGTCGTGGGCATTTGGGAGTAAATCAGCAGATGGAAGATCTCTGTCTCTATCTCCCTCTCTTTAAAATTAATAAGAAACAAAAATTTTAAAAAAGGCAGGCATACTTGGTTGTTTCTGCACCCCAGTACAATTGCGTATACAGTAAACAAAGAAAAAAGCTAAAAGAAAACAGAAATGCAAACAGTAGCTTTGTCTGGGGTATGGAATTATGACCTTACCTTTTTATCTCATTTTCCTAATATTATAGTTAATTTTCATGTAAAAATAAAGTAAATTTAATAAGCATTAAAGTGATAATGGATGTAAGATTTTTTCCTCACTGGACAAATGCTTTATCTTCAAATCCGGCTGCCCTTAAGTGAGGCCCAGCTCTGTGGTTTTTAAATACACGGGGTATCCTGCACTCACCGTCGTGAACCTTAGAGCAACGCACTTCAGGAAAACTGTGGGGCCTGGCGTCAGACCACCTCCACAGCACGCAGGAAGGATGGTCACTCTGCCTCGGTCAAGGGTGTCCCTGACAGGGAGCTCCTTACTGGGCAAGACAGTGTGTTCCAGTGTAGAACAAGACCAAGAGGAGGGGCAGCCCTTCCTCCAGGAAGCATTCCTGGTCTTCTCGCCTCCCAGTGAGGGAGCACGGGAGAGATGGGGGGGCAGAAGTGACAGGAGAGGGGTGGTCTGGGGGAAGTCAGGAGAGTGTGGCCCCAGACTCGCAGTCCCAAGGAGGGAGGATGAGTGGGTTCCTGCCCAGCCCCACCCTGCACAATTTGAAGGTTCTCAGAACCTCCAGTCCCACCACCAAGCGCAGAAGCTCTCAAAGGCCGAGTCCTGAACACATGAATGGATTCTCTGGGCTCAAGGCAGGCTTGTCCCTCAGTGGAAGTCACATGAATGCTTGGAAACTTGATTTCCTACACAGGAGCTGCCCGAACCAGCCCTCAAGGTGACTTGCGGAGGACATGACGGTTGCAAGAAGGAGGGCCACCAGGTGCAGAGGGTGCTGGGGGCAACGGTATTTCAGTCTTTAAAAACCTTTTTTTTTTTTTTTTTAATTTGAGAGGTAGAGAGAGAGAGAAAGATCACTCCTGTACACAGGGTCACTCCCCAGATGCTCAGATTGGCTGGAGCTGGGCTAGGTCAAAGCCAGAAGCCAGGAGCACAAAGCAGGTCTCCCACAGGGGTGGCAGGAACCCAGTTACTCAAGCCAAAGCCGCTGCCTCCCAGGGTTTGCACTGGCAGAAAGCTGGAGTCAGGAGCCAGTGTCGGGAATCTAACCGAGGTACTGCGAAGTGAGATGCCGCGTCTCCACCGCTAGGCTAAACGCCCACTCTGTAACGCTTAGTTCTGCCCACAGCTGACTCCGGTGCACGGGGGTCATGCTGAACCTGGGGTGAAGGCTTCCTTACTGCGCCGGTTCAGGGGCGACTGCCACACGCATTTCCCCTCAGGGCCACCTCAGCCCCAGCACGCTGGGGAAAGGAAAACGGAGGGCCCTGCGGTGCCCACTCTCTTCCACCTCTGCACCAGACGGCGCAAGTAGCTGCGGCCAAGCTACCACCTCTCTGAGCCTCAGTTTCCTCATCTGCAAAATGGCCTAACAGTACCACCAAGGACAGCAGAGGCTGCAGCCAGGCTCACCCCCATGACTAAAACTGCTTTGCAGGGACTGGGGTTGTGTTGGAACAGGTAAAGCCACCACATGATGCTGCCATCCCAACTGGGTGCCGATTCGTGTCCCAGTTGCTCCACTTCTGATCCAGCTCCCTGCTGATGGCCAGAGAAAGCAGCGGAGGGTGGCTCAATTGCTTAGGCCCCTACACCCATGTGGGAGAGCTGGGTGAAACTCCAAGCTACAGCCTGGCCCAGCCCTGGGCATTGCAGCCACCTGGGGAGCAAATCAGCAGATGGAAGATCTCTCTGTAACTCTCCCTTTCAAATAAGTAAATAAGTAATTTAAAAAACAAACTGCTCCGCAGACTGTAAAGTCTGTTCCCACTGAACAGCAACCCCATGTGCAGTTTTCCTTTCCAGTTTTGTCACCTGGGGTCAGATGTGGTCTGCAAATATTAGATGAAAAATTCCAGAAACAAACAATCCATAAGTCTTCACTTGTGTTGTTCTGAGTGTGAAATCCCAGGCTGTCCTACTCCATCCCGTGTAGGAGGTCCAGTGTGTCCACATTGTGTACAACACCTGCCCACCAGTCCCACAGCAGCCATTCAGCTGTCAGACTAACTGCAGTGGGGTTCAAGGAACCCCTACTCAACAGTGGCCTTGAACGCTGGCAGTCTGCATACGGCAAGGTGAAAAGGTAACAGTTCTCAGTAAAGGTAAGAATCCCATGTATGACCACCTGAAGCAGATGAGGCTCCTGACAGCTTAACAAAAGTTATCAGCGGCCTGAGCTCCATCACAGTGCCTCGACCACCCGCTCCCTCATCTCAGCACACAGCTGTCACGGAGCCTCCATCACCCACTCCCTCATCTGAGCACACAGGCACTGTGTCACCACACATCACCACAGGGTGTTGTAAGTAAGACACTGAGAGAGAGACCACATTCACATCGTATTACAACTGTTCTATTTTACTATTCATTGTTGCTGGTCATTTACTGTACCTGACTCAGAAATGAAATTTTACCCAAGGATGTATTTAGAGGAAGGAACGGCACACACGGGGCTTGGTACAGTCCACAGCTTCAAGCATCCCCCAGGGTCTGGGAACGTCTCCGTGGGTGGGGGGACAGCCTAGACAGGACCAGTTCAGCACAGGAGTCACGTGGGTTTTGGCTGCTGCTGTTTCTGGAGTCCATCAGAGCACACAGCACAGAGAGGAGGTCTTGGAATGCCCATGGCCTGACGGCACCACCGTCATTTAACAGAACAGGAGAGGAAGCCCTGGAGGCGCCCCACACCCAGGGCCCTGCGGGCTGGAGGAGGGAGCCAGGAGACAGGGCTGACAGCTGCATGTGCATCACCCTCCACCAGCTTAAACATTAACCTCTCTGCACACCGGGTCCTCCTCTGAAATTAATTCTCCCGAGTCCAGCCAGTCCTAATGTGCAGAGAGCCAGCACTAAGCTGAGTCCTTCCAAACACGGAGCATAATCGGGAGGGCCTCAGGCACCCACTCGTGAACCTGTGAGCCAGCTGTAAATGCTGAGCACCCAGCGGCACCATCCACTACCCCGAGAGGTCGCTGCTGGCTCAATAACGCTGTCCCCTGAGCTCACCTGCGCCCAGAGGCCTTCCTCACAGAGGCCCTTATCCTCTTAGGAGTGCCCGCACTGCACCAACCCCCAAGAGGAGAGCGTGGGCACAGCAGGGGTGCAATCTAGGGGCAAAGGGAGAAGTAGAAAGATTTCAAAAAAAGAGCGTAAGTGTTGTGATGGGGAAAAGCACAGGGTGCGTGGCAAACCAGAGGAGGGGGACCTGGCTCAGTGCTGGGAAAGCCTGCCAGAGACAACAGGGGAGCATTCCAGCACAGGAGAGGTCCTGAGGTGAAAGAGTAACTGTGATGCTGGGTGCAGAGTGGGGAGTGTGTGCATGTGCAGGTACACACATGCACCCTTGCAGGAAGTGCACATGGTGTGTGTGTGTGTGCAGACTATCTTTGTAGGAAGTGCACACGGTGTGTGTGTACACAGTGTATCCTTGCAGGAAGTGAACAAGGTGTATGTATACAGGGTATCCTTGTGGGAAGGGTACATGGTGTATGTACACCCATGCACCCTTGCAGAAGTCTATCCTTGCGAGAAGCGCACATGGTGTGTGTGCACAGTCTATCCTTGTGGGAAGTGCACACGGTGTGTACACAGTGTATCCTTGCAGGA